ACGCCCCCCCCCCATCTTCACTCGAGATCCACTGAATTAGAACACTGAAGCGTGTTGACACATAATGTTAAACGTTTTGAGTTAAAAATTTTATATATACTCCCAACACTTCTTAAAACAAAAATCTCCTAATTGAAAACACATTTGTTTGAAATCCATGCAATTTATTTTGTCAAGTGATAAGCTGTAAAAAGCGAAAAAAGATAATCATGCTGAGAAGTACCATGCGTTCTTCGCGCTATAAAGTAATTGCTGTCCCTTAAGGAATATTGATTCGCACTTCTTCATGTTATAATAAATGGAAAGAGCTATTTCTTTAAACTATCAACATTTAAATTTGACAAAAATAAATATTAAAAAAAGTGTTTTTTTCAATCTTACAAGTATGTTACCAGAGCAACAAAGTTCTGGCGCTGAATCTTTTCATCTTGAATATCACAATGAATACAAATACACATTTTTCTACCTATTCAAAAATCTGGAAGATTTAAACGATTACTGTCACAGTTATAATGGTAAGCTCTTGATGAATGTTCGGTATGAGTTTCTTAACACCAAAAATTTGAAGTTTTTTTTCCAATTCATTGATTACATGAATAGTATCAGTATCTATACCATGCGTTTTGTACTTTTAAAGTAATCAATTACTCGATACTTATGTATCTTATTTGGGTAATAATCTTCCATTTAGTTATCACAACTATCTTTAAAACATACTGTACATGATGTCCCTTGTAAAAATGAGTCGGCATTTGCAGTTTAGGGTCAGCATGTATGTGTAAATTTGTACAGTCTAGTTGTCTTTTCTTATCGAGATTTTTTTTGGAGTTGAAGTTTAACGCTAATAACGCCTGATAATTGCAAAAAATGAGGTAACAGTGATGTTACAAGGTTTTTTTTAACTTTGAAAACCGGGGAGCCAAATTGAGACGTATCTTATAGCACGGTACCACGCGTCGTCTGCTTAAACTTGCATGTAGCACGACCGCACTACTTGATTGAAATTTAAGTTGAATCAAAATATTTCTCTAAATATCAGTTTTATACTTAACTCTTTTTCACCTAAATTACTGCGTATGATATAAAACTGTCTGAATGAATAAAATCAAAACTGATTTTTAAAGTTTCCGCGCTCCAGAATTTCATAGGACTGTAACAATAACGACTGTTTTAGAAAGAAGATTTGTAAAAGTCATTGAAGATTTCAAACAGTTTTTTTAAAGGTGTTAGGTTTGTAATCGAATTTTTTATCTTAAACTTTAAGGTTGGGTGTAAGTGCCACTAGAATCATCAAATATTGTAACTCTCATGAGGTGGTCATGAGGTTTGGAATATCATATTTAGTAAGTGTAGAGTTAAAAGTTTTTTTACAAGACAAGGCATATAAAGCACTGTAATTCTAAAATTAATCTAGCCTATTTTTTAGGTAAGATTCAGGAACTATATAGCATGAAAATTTCCGTTAAAAGGTAAAACATTTAAAGGACTATGTTTTTCAGAAAAAAAAAATGATAAACTGTTTGGGTTTTGGCAGTCAAAACGTTATGTAAAATATACATGAAACTTTAAAACTACGTTTTATTACGACTTCATTGTCAAACCTATTAAAGACGAAAGTTAAGTGACAATGAGATTTAAAAATTGTTTTTATCTTATAATAGAGTTTGACAATTTCATTTCTCTGATTCTTTAGAGATTTTTTAGGTAAGATTAAACAGCTAACTTGTTTGTTCTCCCAGGACGACTGATTGTAAAGTTCAGTTGCTATTTTTTGTTAAATCAAAATTAAAAATTTAGTTTTTAAAGTTAAATGGGTTAAAACCGTACATCAGTAAGTTATGAGGAGTTTCAAGGTAAGGTTTTTGATGTTTCCGGTTGGCAAAGTTCGTACTAGTGACATTAGGCACTTACAAGCTTTACGAACTAGTTGCCAGAATTATGAACCTTATTTCGACAGCGTCAGTTTTCATAACTGTTGAATACAGAAAAAATCTAGAAATTTGGGTTACATCATAAGTTACGGAAAAACGTTTTGGAAATGTGGGCTCTAACATCCTTCTTCAAATTTTTCCCTATGTAATTTAAAAAAAATCATTGTGATTAGTTGAAAACTATCACCTATCATCATTTTTGAAACAAAACTAGTCGTTTGGCCCCACTGAGCATAGGTGCAGAGTGTGACAAGGCTTTTGTTCTCCTACATTCAAAGTGAATTCCTGCCCTAAGATTGAAAGTCAGTAGCAAGGGTACAGTGCACTTCACAGCATGATATCCACGTAGATCAGTTTCTTATACAACTTTCTTTATCAGGCAGCAAAACAATGAATGGAGTCTGCAAGACTAACAAACAAATAAAAAAAATTTATCTGAGTAGATGGAGGATAGAAAGACAGAGAAGGTATAAATTAAAAATAATTTATTGACATTTTTAAGGACAAGCAGATGAAACCAAGAATCAGACCAAGGGTAAGTGCAGTAAGCGGAAGAAGGACTATGAGCTGAAAGAGAAAAAATGAACAAATATCAAAAAGGGAATGCTTCAAACAGAAAAAGAGAGAGAGAAAAAGAAACAGAGGGAGAGAGTTATCTTACTTATATATAATAAACAATAAGGCAAAAATAAACAGCACACAAATGTATAGGGAAAGCTAAATAACTTACAATAAGAGAAAAAGAAGGAACGTATCACAATGTACGGAAAAATAAATAGGAAGAATAATCTTAATTTAAAAACAGATTGACTCAGTATAAAAAATATGAGGGTGAAATGACGATATGAAAAATAAAGAGGTAAATAAAATTATGTATGAGAGCAGTGCAGTGATAGGAAGTGAAAATAGTAAAAAAGCTTATGAGGCCAAGGTACATACATTTGAAAGTGTGCATAAAAAAATTACGCAGTAGTACAAAATTAGGCTAACTGTGCAAGTTAATAAAAAAAAGGAAAACATAAAAGTGCTTAAAATGCTTCTACTGCTATACTGATCACTGGAGAAAATGTTAAGAATTTTTCAGAAAAGTGAATTTAAGGTAAGGAGTCGTAGAAACGACAATAAGAGCATCTAAACAAGAAATTTCATATTTTTAAGTACTGCAGGATTTAAAAAAAAAGAAAGTTTTTTAACTATATGTGAGGTGCAGACTTGGTGAGTCAGACGGATACTTGGCTGCATAAAAGTGGTGGGCATATCCTTAATCGTAAAGTAATAAATGGCTGTAGCGAGAAGTCAGTATGTGCATTTAAAAAATAAACAAGAAGCATATCAAAGTATAGTTTTATGATTAAGATTAGAATATTATGAGTCAGATCAAGAAGTGTGAATTTAGAGATAATGGAAAAAGACCTTTAAATAACGTAATATAAAACGATGATAAATTCAATTATATTTCTAAAAGGATATTAGGAGGACTTTTACAAGTGGATCAATTATACTTACATAGTATTTGGTTTACAAGGCAAAATGCTTAAATACTATAAATAAGCGTAGACAATAAAAGATTGGAGAAAAAAGGAGAGCATCAATTGTACTTTACTTTTTTTAGTACTACATAAAATCGAAGTCTTAACAATTTAGTGCATGGAAAAAAATTTAACTCGTTGTTTTCTATAATACTAAAGATGCATATGAGATCTAAAAATGTATGTTATTCTTAGCTTTAAATCTTTTACGGATATTTCAATTGAAGAATAATAAAAAAATTTGGAACCACAAAGCTTAACATCATTCAACTTATCTTTATGACAAAACACAATATTTGAGAAACTTAAAAAAAAATCTATGTATGTAGTTTGAATAAGAAAATAGAAACATAACGAATAAAGACATCATATTATTAAATACTTGAGTTACCTTAGGTCCTAAGTTTGATATACTCTCTAAGCTAATTATCAGCGAATTCAATTTAGACACTCCAATATTTGTCACTTCTGTTTTAGCACTTTCACACAAAGTGCGAACAAATATTTCTCCGGCAGCAGGTGGTATCCATTCTGGATTTGTAAGGGTAAAGTGTATCAAAGACAGCTCAGTTTTTCCATCTTCAGCTTGATTATACTCATTAGTCGTAAAAATTTTTTCATCTTTTTGTTCAGAATTCAGATTCCTAGTTTTAATTTTCAATGCCTCATCACTTGAATAATCAGGGATCTGCCATCTTGGATTTCCATGCTTTCTTATGTCCATTTGAGCAAAACTACATACATCACCAACACCAATTACTTCTATGGTAAAGTTTCGGTAAAAATCAACAATATCTAGTGTCTTATATCTTAATCGAAAGCATAGAATATAAGGTGTTATGAGGGGTGATATTAGTTCTTCTAACAAATGTACTGCTCTGTACTTAAACAAATGAGAAAACTGAGTTCTTGTTGTGTGCGTATGGGCTTGACGTCTCCAATTATCAGGCCTATAATGTGTGTGTGCTAAAACGGCAGTTAAAACAGTTTCAGGGCACCAAACAAGATTTTCATCAGGAATAAGTGATCTACATATAGCTGCTATAGTTCCAGCAATGGTCATCATGAGTAGTACATGCTCAACATTTAGAAAATCCTCATCGTAACAGGTAAGTATAACAAGTACAACAAAAATACTTCCACATATAAAAGCAATATTCTTGGCTATGATAATTGTCATTGGGGAAGTAAACATGCTCATATACTTAGAAGCTGGACGATAGGCTCTGTTAAGACGAGCATTTAATTCATGATCTAACTCGTTGAAATGGCGCAAATAAAGTTTTGCATACAAAGACCACGTACGTATTCCTAATATTCCGGGTTCTCTTTTTAGTAGCTAAAACAATTAAATTTTATTATTTAACTATCAAATAGTTTAATTACTAACTTATTTTAGTGATAAAAAGATTATATATAGATACAAACTTATTTTTAAGAAAATTATAAGAAAATCTTAGTGTCTACTTTATCTAATCCATAATTTTCAACACTTGATTTACTGTAATCCAATATTTTTTTAATGTATAATGAATGATAAGTAGACTTAAAGTATCAATAATTAAAAGTACTCCAAAAGTTAGGGTCATACTATTCTTACAGAAATGCATAAGCAGCTATGGATTCAGTAAGGTACTGCTTCATTTCACTCATTACTTTTGTCCTAAAATATCTAAAACTATAATAATAGATAGTGTCATGCTAAATTTTAGAACTGTCAATACCTCTGGTTTGTTTATCACTGTGTAAAACGTACTTTCGTTATTATGTAGACAAAGAGAATCATTATGTGTAGTTTACAATGGACACATGCAAAAATTTATGTTTATAATGTAATACTTTGATACTTACAAAAAATTATATTTATTTAAAAACTACTTGACACAAACACAACATTTTGTACATGAACAAATATCAAAAAGGGAATGCTTCAAACAGAAAAAGAGAGAGAGAAAAAGAAACAGAGGGAGAGAGTTATCTTACTTATATATAATAAACAATAAGGCAAAAATAAACAGCACACAAATGTATAGGGAAAGCTAAATAACTTACAATAAGAGAAAAAGAAGGAACGTATCACAATGTACGGAAAAATAAATAGGAAGAATAATCTTAATTTAAAAACAGATTGACTCAGTATAAAAAATATGAGGGTGAAATGACGATATGAAAAATAAAGAGGTAAATAAAATTATGTATGAGAGCAGTGCAGTGATAGGAAGTGAAAATAGTAAAAAAGCTTATGAGGCCAAGGTACATACATTTGAAAGTGTGCATAAAAAAATTACGCAGTAGTACAAAATTAGGCTAACTGTGCAAGTTAATAAAAAAAAGGAAAACATAAAAGTGCTTAAAATGCTTCTACTGCTATACTGATCACTGGAGAAAATGTTAAGAATTTTTCAGAAAAGTGAATTTAAGGTAAGGAGTCGTAGAAACGACAATAAGAGCATCTAAACAAGAAATTTCATATTTTTAAGTACTGCAGGATTTAAAAAAAAAGAAAGTTTTTTAACTATATGTGAGGTGCAGACTTGGTGAGTCAGACGGATACTTGGCTGCATAAAAGTGGTGGGCATATCCTTAATCGTAAAGTAATAAATGGCTGTAGCGAGAAGTCAGTATGTGCATTTAAAAAATAAACAAGAAGCATATCAAAGTATAGTTTTATGATTAAGATTAGAATATTATGAGTCAGATCAAGAAGTGTGAATTTAGAGATAATGGAAAAAGACCTTTAAATAACGTAATATAAAACGATGATAAATTCAATTATATTTCTAAAAGGATATTAGGAGGACTTTTACAAGTGGATCAATTATACTTACATAGTATTTGGTTTACCAGGCAAAATGCTTAAATACTATAAATAAGCGTAGACAATAAAAGATTGGAGAAAAAAGGAGAGCATCAATTGTACTTTACTTTTTTTAGTACTACATAAAATCGAAGTCTTAACAATTTAGTGCATGGAAAAAAATTTAACTCGTTGTTTTCTATAATACTAAAGATGCATATGAGATCTAAAAATGTATGTTATTCTTAGCTTTAAATCTTTTACGGATATTTCAATTGAAGAATAATAAAAAATTTCGGAACCACNCTTCAATTATATAAAACAATTTCTTATTAGAATTCAAGATTTTTAAGATAAATGTCAAAGTTGTAACATGCATGAAAAATTTTGTTATGCGAGCATTTCGATTTTTTTAATGCAAGAATTTTGAGAAACAGTGCCTTAATATATAGAGTCTCTTATGTTTTCACTTGTTAAAAGTCTAATTTTAAAAATGCATTCTAAACGTTGTAAGAACTTAATTTCGCCTGATTTAAAAAAAATAAAAAAAATAAAAAAATACTGAGCGTCCTTAAGTGACACTATTTTTAGCTGCCCTAATGTTAATTGACGTCTTACTCTTCCTCTTCTAGCCCAAGTTTTTACCGTTGAATTAAAACAGTAATATAGTGGAATATTTACGTATATAATTTTTTTTGCGAAACTATGTATGTTATTAAATTTAAACCAAGCCGTTTATGCCGTTTAAAAGTATTTTAAAGCATTAAACATATTATTTATTGAAAAACACATTTTGTTTATTTTTAATGATACTGGTAAATGACATACAAAATTACTACCTCTACCCAGAGAGAACTCTTGCAGTCGCTATACTGCTTCCATGGGGCTTGAATAGCGGCCATCTGCAAAATCTTATATTTCATCAAAAATTTCCATATCGTTTTTTTTATCACTCGTATCTGTTTTCGTTATTTTACGTGATGCTCTACCTTCTACCTTATGGATGTAATCAAAAATTTACTTTATATTTCAAATAGTTGCACAATACTCATCATTAATGTGGCAATTATATTCGGTTAACAAAATGTATTGTTTGGTACTATCATTGAGTTATCAACTAAAATTTTTTTTTCACTATTTTTAATTTTATAAATGTGATTATCACATTTATTGTCACTTCTTTTGTAGTTTGGAAATAAATTTCTGTAAAAACTGTATTATGAGTAGATTTTTTTTAAAACTTTTTTTGTACAAATTTGTTAATGACTGGTAAGACATGGACTATCTTTACCATGAGGTCCATGAAGCACGTGTTTGATAACAAGTTCTTGTAATTGTGAATGAAGTGGAATTTTTGTAGAAATATATTTATCTATGTCTATAGTAGTGAAAAAGTTCATTGTATGTATGCTATGTTACAATAATATGAAATAATCCTTTTTCTTTAAATTCAATGGTATAAACGTAAGCTAAAACTTGTATGAAAATATTCTGTTTAGTTGTTTCATCTCACATTAATTTTAATTTTGTTTAAAATAATCTTACAGTTATATTCGCTATACCATTTGGAGTGTTACCTTCAGAAGAAATTTTCAAAATTTTCATCATTTCTAACCATTTAGGGTTACATCTAACGGTTATAAAAAAAATCAGGTCGTCCAAACTTTCGCATTATTACTATTGCATCTAAATAATGTTATTCTATTGCTTTTTGTCATAATATATACAAGCAAAAACATTGTTGTGTTAATCTTCCACCGTAGAGTATGGGACTAAAAATTTTACTATTTGGTCGATAGGAAGTTTGATGTAAGTAATATTGAAGCAGCGTAATATTATCTATCTCTGTTAAAGGTTTTTGTCCATCACATGTACTCCTTCCTACATCTCCTACCGGAAATAATAAAGAAAATCCAGCCTACAGCATCGATAATGCAATCTGTAAAGGTGTTATAAATCAGATGATAATACGTATATAAATTTTCCCGTAAGAATATTAAACATATTCGTGAATAATAGCTAATGAAACGGTACACGATTGCGAATTATTAAATTGTTGAAGTATAACGTGAAAGATAAAATAGGTACGGAAAAAAAAAAGTAATAATGTTTTTATTTCATGAATTACAAGAAATACCGGAACGACCTTATTATTGCCTTTTAATTTAAATAGAAAACAATTTCCATTAATTGTAGCATTTGCTATGACTATGAACAAGTCTTAAGGTCAAAGTTTTGATAATGTGGGATTATACTTGAAAAAACCTATATTTTGTAATCGTCAATTGTACGTGGTTTTATCAAGAAGCAGAAATAAGAATGGATTTTTCGTCTAAATCAATAGAGAAAACATTTTAAATGTTNAGAAGCAGATCCAGCTGTTGTACGTGTATTAGACAGACAAATAATCGAAGACCAGAAAAACATATCCAGTAAATGTCTCTATTACATACATTTCTGCTAGTTTAATGCAGAAGGCCCAAGAGAAACAAACCTAACACTATAATGTGTCAGATATGTCCAAAAAGTTAAAGATTATTTTCGACTGTGCATAATTTTTCGGCAGTTTGAGAACCAAAATTTAGTCTTTAATGTTTTCTAAGCAATTCCTGAGATCGCTAAATTAAATACGAATAAAATTTAAAGTCACAATGGTAACACTAAGGAAACTATACGTGTGCAACAACTTAAACCATACGTAGCAAGAAAGAGATTTTTAAAAGAAACTGTGTGAACATAAGGCCAGAAATCCGCTATTACCAAAATTGGAAAAGGAAGGATTCATGATAAAAAGCAGCTTAATGTGAGCAGCAAATAAAAAAAAATTATTTTATTTTGTTAACTATGTACAATGTTGAAAAGTAAAAGGTATTACAAATTTACTTATAGTCATCGTTTATGTAGTAAAGTATTCAATGAATTGATAAAAATAAGTTGAAAATTTTCTCAAGTCCTAGAAAAATTTTACTCTCAAAATACCTTATAGCTGTAGATACAGTCGCTGTTAATATTATGATTAATTTTCACCAGTCTGATAATTACAATCAGTTAATGCCAGATCAAAAAAAGTACATCTCTGTAAAACTTAAAGGAAAACGAATCCAAGTACAGAAAAAATCTTATTAAAAAAATTTTGAAGAATTATACGAAACATGTAACCTGAACCATTCAACCATTAAATGTAGTATGGTAGCATAAGCTCTACCAACCATAATATGTCGATATAAAAATATAAAAAAACTGAATAAACGTTTTTAAAAACCATTAACGATAAAGGGAGCTTAACAATTTTACAGTATAATTCCAATCCCACTTTAAAAAATTGAAGCAAAACGGTTTTTATCGTGATTTAAAAAAACTTTTTTTAAAACTCTTCTTATTAAAGAAATAAGAGTACTCAATCATAAATGTCAAATATTCATGTATATAAAAAAAACTGATGACAGACAAGAAAGAGGGGCCTATGGTAAAGGTCCACAGGAATCTATGTGACGTAGCATACAAAATTTTTTTTTTAATTCAATAACAATGATAATTTGTCC